ATAAAAAGGAACGAAACTGAGTTATTTGTAGTGAGGTGGATGGACCTAGAGACTGTCATACAGAGTGAAGTAAGTCAGAAAGAGAAAAAAAAAAAAACCATATGCTAACACATATATATGGAATCTAAAAGAAAAGAAAAAAAGAAAAAACAATATTCAGAAGAACCTAGGGGCAAGACGGGAATAAAGATGTAGACCTACTAGAGAATGGACTTGAGGATACAGGGAGGGGGAAGGGTAAGCTGGGACAAAGTGAGAGAGGGACATGGACATATATACACTACCAAACGTAAAATAGATAGCTATTGGGAAGCAACTGCATAGCACAGGGAGATCAGCTCGGTGATTTGTGACCACCTAGAGAGGTGGGATAGGAAGGTTGGGAGCGAGGGAGATGCATGAGGGAAGAGATATTGGGACATATGTATATGTATAACTGATTCACTTTGTTATAGAGCAGAAACTAACACAACATTGTAAAGCAATTATACTCCAATAAAGATGTTAAAAAACAAACAAACAAAAAAGAGACCAGACTTGTGGCTACCAGAAGTTGGCAGTGGGAGTGGTGAGGAATTGGAAGAAGGTGGTCAAAAGGTACAAACTTCAGTACTAAGATAAATAAGTACCCTAGTACTTATATAAATACTACAACTAGTACTTATATAATATAATGTACTACAGTGTGATGACTATATTTAACAATGTTGTATGACATACAGGAAAGTCGTTAAGAGGAAATTTTTTTTCTTTTCTTCTTTCTTTTTTTTTTTTACTGTATCTATATGATAAGATGGATGTTAGCTGAACCTATTGTGGTAATCATGTCACAGTATATGTAAATTAAATCATCATGCTGTATGCCTCAAACATATATAGTGATTATGTCAATTATTTCACAATCAAGCTGAAAAAATAAAATAATGTTAAAATAATTATAAAAATAAAAGACAGAAGCTCCCCCCAACCCACCTGGAAAACGTAAGCATCAAAACAACTCTTCAAGGACTTTCCTGGTGGTGCAGTGGTTAGGAATCCACCTGCCAATGTAGGGGACACAGGTTCGAGCCCTGTCCAGGAAGATCCCACATGCCGTGGAGCAACAAAGCTCATGTGCCATAACTACTGAGCCTGCACTCTAGAGCCTGCGAGCCACAACTACTGAGCCCACATACAACAACTACTGAAGCCCGTGTACCTAGAGCCCATGCTCCACAACAAGAGAAGCCACCGCAATGAGAAGCCCGCACACCACAATGAAGAGTAGCCCCCACTCGCCACAATGAAGACCCAACACAGCAAAAAATAAAATGTAAATAAATAGATATATACATATATATATATAAAGACAACTCTTCAAACCATAGAAATGTTGGTGAGAGAGGTTAAGGATTGAGACCACACAACAACTAAGTGGTGGTGCTAATCTCATGGTGCCTGACTCTGAAGACTTCAAACTTTCTGCTTTGTGACAATGACTCTTAGCACCAATCAAAGAATATTTGGATGTTGAGGTAAGTTCCCTCTATGCCTACTTTCTGGAGAGTTTTTATCATAAATCGGTGTTGAATTTTGTCAAAAGCTTTTTCTGCATCTATTGAGATGATCATATGGTTTTTATCCTTCAGTTTGTTAATATGGTGTATCACATTGATTGATTTGCAAATATTGAAGAATCCTTGTATTCCTGGGATAAACCCCACTTGATGGTGGTGTGTGATCCTTTTAATGTGCTGTTGGATTCTGTTTGCTAGTAGTTTGTTGAGGATTTTGCATCTATGTTTATCAGTGATATTGGTCTGTAGTTTTCTTTTTTGTGACATCTTTGTCTGGTTTTGGTATCAGTGTGATGGTGGCTTCGTAGAATGAGTTTGGGAGTGTTCCTCCCTCTGCTATATTTTGGAAGAGTTTGAGAAGCATAAGTGTTAGCTCTTCTCTAAATGTTTGATAAAATTCGTGTGTGAAGCCGTCTGGTCCTGGGCTTTGTTTGTTGGAAGATTTTAAATCACAGTTCAAATAAACAAGTGGGACCTAATGAAACTTAAAAGCTTTTGCACAGCAAAGGAAACCATAAACAAGGTGAAAAGACAATGCTCAGATGGGAGAAAATATTTGCAAATGAAACAACTGACAAAGGATTAATCTCCAAAATATACAAGGAGCACATGCAGCTCAATATCAAAAATACAAACAACCCAATCCAAAACTGGGCAGAAGATCTAAATAGACATTTCTCCAGAGAAGATATACAGATTGCCAACAAACATATGAAAGGATGCTCAACATCACAAATCATTAGGGCAATGCAAATCAAAGCTATAATGAGGTATCACCTCACACGGTCAGAATGGCCATCATCAAAAAATCTACAAACAATAAACGCTGGAGAGGGTGTGGAGAAAAAGGAACCCTCTTGCACTGTTGGTGGGAATGTAAATTGATATAGCCACTATGGAGAACAGTATGGAGGTTCCCTAAAAAAAGAACTACCATATGACCCAGCAATCCCACTACTGGGCATATACCCTGAGAAAACCGTAATTCAAAGAGAGTCAGGTACCACATGTTCATTGCAGCATTATTCTCAATAGCCAGAACATGGAAGCAACCTCGGTGTCCATTGACAGATGAATGGATAAAGAAGATGTGGCACATATATACAATAGAATATTACTCAGTCATAAAAAGAAACGAAATTGAGTTATTTGTATTGAGGTGGATGGACCTAGAGTCTGTCATACAGAGTGAAGTAAGTCAGAAAGAGAAAAACAAATACTGCATGCTAACACATATATATGGAATCTAAAAAAAAAAAAAAGTTTCTGATGAACCTAGGGGAAGGACAGGAATAAAGACGCAGATGTAGAGAATGGACTTGAGGACACAGGAAGGGGGAAGGGTGAACTGGGATGAAGTGAGAGAGTAGCATTGACATATATACATTACCAAATGTAAAATAGATAGCTAGTGGGAAGCAGCTGCATAGCACAGGGATGTCAGCTTGGTGCTTTGTGCCCACCTAGAGGGGTGGGATAGGGAGGGTGGGAGGGAGATGCAAGAGGGAGGGGATACTGGGATATATGTATACATATAGCTGATTCACTTTGTTATACAGCAGAAACTAATGCAACATTATAAAGCAATTATAATCCAATAAAGATGTTAAAAAAAAAAGAATATTAAGAAATGGCAACAAGGTAGGATATATCTTAGCTACTAAAGATAGCAGGACTAGAATTGATGGCACTATGTGACAATGTGTACATGGTAAGTCAAATTCAAAGAGAACACACATTAAAACTATAACAGAAGGAATAAAATTGTGATTGACATTAATGGCTGAAGAGACTTATATACACAGTTTAAAGAACAATGGCTAAAAAGATAGAAAGTGTTTGTCTGCAGCCAATGTGCATGTTGTCCCTAGACCACTGCACTTAATGAGGTTTTCAACCCTTCCCAGCCATGCAACTCCTTTTGACTGACACCACCTAAAGGTCCACTAAGATCAGGTAAATTTCTCTTATACAAACTTATTACAAAATAAAAGGTAATCTGTGTGCCTAAGGAATAAAAATGTTATCTAAGAAAAACCGAGAAGACTGATATATGTTACTTATCCTTTCTCATTTTTAGAAGACATATTTCATAAGACACATAATAAGATCATTTTCTGGGTTTTGCCTAGAATTGACTGGCATATGTATATCCTTTGGGATTTGTTTTTTCCTTTGGGAATCACTCTTCCACACAAGGAAATGAACTTGGGATGAAGGTGGTTGTAAGATAAATTGTATTGGGTGAGTTCTAATATTTACTGTACAGATGATTTTCAACCTACATATATTTTTATTATCTTCATAGAGTGAATAGAGAATCTAGTTCTACATTTTTTTTGGAAAATTCTTTGTATATCCACTACTGAAAAGTTTAAGTAAATATACACGTAGAGATCTATGTTTAGTTTTGGATTTCAACTAGTCCTGTTTTGTGGTTGTTTTATATTTTATTAAACAATCTACCAGGTCCTTATTCTTTTCTCTTTTCTAGATTAACATAAAATTTGCAAAAGAAAATCTTCCTCTATCATTTGGAATTCAAATAATGATATACTGAGCATTGCTCTTTTGTACCTGGAGGCTACAGACTTAGCTAAAAAGCAGTGACCTGAAATCAGTAATAATCACCAGGAATGTAGATTGGGAGATTAAATCTGGGAGATCATAGAACCATGTCTCCATCTAAAAATCAAATGGAAAAAAAGAAAAAGAAAAGAATAGAAAGCTCAGTTACTGATGTAGTTTTTCTACATTGAGATATTAAAGGAACTCTTTTTCCCAGTTCTAGTTTTCTCCCACTTCTACTCATTCTTCAGTATTTTTTGAAGGTTCATTTACAAGCAAGTCACAGTAATTATGAACTCCACGAAGCTAGACACATTCATTTTGTATCCTCAGCACCTCTAATTTCCTCTTATTTAGTAAATGGTAGGCAAATATCTGTTGAAAATAGAAATGAATGGATAGATAATCAATAGTAATAAATTACAATATAATTCTACAAAATATTAAGTGCAAGAAGATTATTAGTCTCATTCTGATAAACATTTCTAGAGCACATGTTTACTGTTATTTATTCTTTTGCTTGTTTTATCTTAAAGGGTACTTCAGATAATGTAACTGTTGATAAATGTTTTAACTAAAGTTATCAGAAAACCATTACAATTAAAGCTAAATCTTCTTAACAAATTACTATTAGAACCTGTTTTGACTCACATTGATACAAAACTGAAATGAGTGTTAAAAAATGAATTGTTATATTTTATGCATAACAATTCTTATGGGCATAACTAATTATTACAAATTAATAAATTAAGACATTCTTTTGTTAAATAAATTTGCATATGGAATGTTTACTATAAAAATTTGACTTCAATTTCTTGAGGTATTTTTTTCCCAAGAAACTGATGATATATTTTCATAAGCACCCATTAGACATACATGCCATTCCACATTGTCATCTTCTTTCCCAAGAGTTAGCAGCTTGGTGAGTGGATTTCCAGTGGGTCCAGTGTTACTCTCGGGAGACTGGTGTCCATGCTGTACCAGAAGTGCACTGCTTGGTGTTGGAGGGTGTGACCGTTTAAGAGTCTGGTAGACGATCTGGTGCTCAAGGGTCATGAAAGGTTTTACTTGCTCTCTCTGAACTTTCTGTAGCTGAGTCCTAGCAGAACTTTCCAGGTGTGCTGGGACCTACCAAATAAAAACCAAACAAATGCAATGTGTAGCATCATCTGGTAAATGAGTTCCACTTTCAACAATTGGATTATGACAATAAACACTATAACATCTAGTTTCTTTCTAATTTATTGTCTATGCTTCTGTCATAATTTACATAAGATATTCATGGACTATAGTTTTTGAGAAGTCATTTAAACTTTATTAAAATATTTTAAATGCTAACCAAGTGTTTAAGAATAGCTCTTAAAATAATATGCAACTGAAACCAACTTGGAATAAATATAAAAGCAGCAAAACTTTTTGAGGGTTTGAAAAAGAATGACTAAAATAATAAAAGGAAAACACAGCTGATTTAATATTATTAGTGATTTTTATATAACATATATCTCTTGTATTCCTTAATATTACATATAAATATTCCATTGGCTATAATCACTCTATTTTTAATTAAAGATTTAAAAAAATTATCCATGAGGGAGCAGAGACTAGAAGTATATATACTAAATACTGTCTGATACTTTATGGGTGGTGAAAATCTAGGTGATTTTTTTCAGTTTTCTGTATTTTCCAGAGTTTCTATACTGAGTTTATTTTAATTTTTTAAAAATCTTAATTTTAAACTCTTCCATATTCTCACTTTATAATAACAATACTTTGGTAGAATCATTATGAATTGACAGAAAGAAGCATTCAGAGAAAAATCTAACCAGTGTCATGTGCCAACTAAGCAACTATCCAGTATATTGAAATCCCTTTTTCAAATCATAGACATAAAATTCTGGGCATCTTCAGTCTAGCTATCATAGTTAATGATATACCATTATTTGTGTAAGAACAATTTTAAGTATTTCCAGCTTTCCCTTTAAAAACCTCTGAAAATAGTATTGCCTGCCAGTCCCCTTTATATTCACTATGCTGTGGTGTGACTTCTAATACATTTTCCTCAAGTGGCCTATATATAAACCTATTTAATATTTCCCTCGTGTTAAACAATAGTAAAGATTGCTGTACAGTGCTTATTTTTCCTTTTATTTCAGCTACACAAACTACTCCTTAAATCCCTTAACATGCATTAGCTCAGATAAATAGCCTTTACAAAGTATTTTGCATTTAAATTAGCTGGTTTGGGGTACAATATTGTAGTAGTTACTTTAGTTTAATTCTGTTATGCTGACATTTTTTGCATTATTTTAATTGTACTACCATAAAATAATTTTTCAGTCATACAAAAAAGATTAAGATTGGTAATAAAGATTACACATATTACTAATTTTATTGCTGTGAGCTTTAAAGTTGTAAAACAACATTTCATTAAAATGCCTGTGGTAATTTTGGGGGGGTAGCTATTTAGATTATCCTACAGTTTTAAATTAATCCTTCTTAATCCATATACATTTATAAAATATACATTATAAACAGCATTTTCAGATTCACAAATCTGAATGACTTTCACACAACATAACTGAATGCTAAAGAACACTGTATATTATTTTAAGAAAAGTATGTTGAATCAGAATTTACAACATACATTAACTAATTCATTTTTCACTTTTCATATATGGATGCTAAAAGCATCATTATAGTACTTATTGTGTTTTGTGTTACATCAGGAGTCCAAGGGAAGTCATAAATGTGATCCTAGGGCTCTAGGAATTTACAATATACTTGGGCAATATTAATATCAACTACAGCAAAAATGATGATGATGATAAAAATAATAATATGCAGCAGGTATCAGGCACTGTGCTAAGCATTTTACACACAATGTTTCATTTAATCCTTGTTACAACCTTAGGAGATAGGTATCAATAGTACCCCCATTGCACCATATATTTGAAGCCACTGAGACTTAGAGAGGTTAAATGGTGTGGCTGTTATCACTCCGCTAGTAAGAGATGGAACTGGAATACAGGGCCTGGCTTCCTAAACACTACATGATATTGGCTCCTGATTGAAATGACTGGAATACAAAGCAAAAGCTCAGTAATGTATACAATGAATTTAGAATGCCACAAGAAGCAGTGGTTTTAAAAAACTAATTGAAAGAGAAAATGGTTATAAATCAGGTGTTGGAAGGAGATGGTCCTGGGATAGGGGACAGAAAGAAGGAAAACTCAAATGTAAAAGATCAAAATGAAAGAAGAAAAGAAGTTGGGAGACAGTCACAAATATTAGCCATGAAAAGGAATTCACATGAATACTTTTCCTTTCTCAAAGCAAAACTACCATCTCACTAGATCACTCTATACAGAGACACAATTAAAAATATGAAATTCTAATTCTTTTTCTAATAAATTCTAATTCTAATAAATTATGGGTTATTTATAGGGAATTACAAGGGTTTAGCAGGCAAAAGTGAAGACTCTCTTGGATCCTACATCTATATACAACATCTATAAACTAAGCATGAGAGTCTGAAAGATCAGTGGAGCCAGGGAAGATTAAATGGAATGTAATTAACTTACTCCCCAGTAAACCTCCATCTCTTCCAAGAATGGACTGATAACAGAACAATGAGACAACTAACTGTAAAACATCAGTTCAACCATGTGCAGTCAATTTTAAAATACTTTCAAATTGCCTGGGATCTGAAGACACAACTATAAAACTATCTATTGGATTGGTTTCACTGAAGGTCTTGGTAGTTGGTGAGATGAAGTAAATGAAACTATATGTTGCCATTGTTCATTTATTTATTTATTTAAGAAATATTTTTGAGTGTCAAGTGTGTGTGCACTGAGTCGTGCATTGAAGGTAAAAGGGAGATAACCACAGTATCTGCCTTCAAAGAGCTCATAGTCTAGTCAGGGAAGAAAAATAAAAGATCTCCAAGGGCAAGGGCTGCATTTATCTTGCTGGCTGCTGGACTGCCATACTTCCTATACATAACCCAGAGAGGGGCACACAGCAGGCGCTTAAAAATATGTGTTCACATGTGTTCAGTGAGTGACTTTATGAATGAATCATTAAAGTACAGTGTGTGAATAACTATGGGTGACTGCAGAGAGCTTTGGGAACCCACTAGAGGAAGCAGGTAAACCATAATCAGAATACCAAAGTCTTCACCTAGAAGGCTAGAGCAGCTGTAGATTGTGATTTGGTTCTTTGGACTATCAAAGAGATTAAGACCACCCAGATGTAGGGAAGTTTTGCTATTGAGAGTAATAAGTACAACATTATCTCCTAACTCTGAATTATGTCTCAGCATTATCTCTCTGGCATGCTGTTATTCCAAACTAAAAATAATGATGGTCAGCTTAAGTCCAAGGTTTTGTCTATTTGCAGAGATCTGTTTTATTTCAATTAAAAGAATTTATTTACTTATATTCTCCCTCTTTTCCAAAACATTATAAATAAATATGAGGTGTAAATGTGGTGAGAGGTATTTATACCAGAAAATGTAGGCTGAAGATTAATCTTGCAATCGAGTACAAAATTTACCCATGAGCATCCTGACAGCCAAGGAAAAAGGAAAATTTTAAAACATATTAGGTGGAGCCTTGTGAAATTGCAGATATTTGACAATTTTTGATCCACGAATTGTCCCTTCTGTATAGTTCAACCCAATATATATTTCTTAATAAGTAATTAAATCATGCCAGCTCTGAGGAAAGACAAATATTTTTCAGAATAATATCTGAGAATTTATAAACTAGATTTTTTCATGGAAGACTTGAATGATATCTTGAACAAAATTCCAACTTGCAAAATAGGCAGTGAAGTTCTTTATATGCCCATATTTAAAAATAAATATTTATCATCTTAAATTGAGTTAGCTGGGAAACATAATCTGAAACTTGCCTGTAGGATGTTTATTGGGGGGTGCTCTCAGAATTGGCGCTGCAGTAGGGTGAGGGAAACAGGATCAGGTGGAGGCAAGAGTGGTTCAGTCATGAAGGATATAATGTTGATCATGCACCGTAACATCCACTACATTTATTCTTGATCAAAGGCCCAAAGCATAATATGAATCAGCTCAAGTGAAAGCCCAAATATATAACTATATAGTAATCTGACGACCCTTAGATACCTTAGACAGCACTTAGAGCAGGCAGAGCAATGTTTTCCAAACCAATTTATATTTCAGACTCCATATTTAAATACACTAACCTAGAGGATCACCTGGTTAGACCATTAACCCAATATCAATTATCTCAACCTAGGCTTTCAATAGAAATTATGTTGTTTTTTTTCAAAAAGTTCCATTATTTGGAGTTACAAAAATGAAACTTAGCTTAAAACATTCAATTATTTTTTTTAAATATGTTTCAAATGTAAAGTTCTCATATTCTAATAAAGGGATGTGGGTATTTTTAAAAATTAGAAATGCATGTATTGATGAGATTTAAAAAATGCTTAGATTCATTAATAAGAGAACCAGAGCAATGTGCTTAATGGGTCAATTGAAGTATTTTTTTTTTAAATTAGAAATACATAAGTTCCTGCAAGTACAACAAGCTAATGGGAAGAAATTGGTCAGGAAGAAAAAAGTATTCTGGTTGTAGAAAATATAATCACTGGGGAATCACAATCACAAATACAAAATGTATGTATCTAATTCAAAAAGAGTCATGTACCACAATGTTCATTGCAGCTCTATTTACAACAGCCAGGACATGGAAGCAACCTAAGTGTCCATCGACAGATGAATGGATAAAGAAGATGTGGTACATATATACAATGGAATATTACTCAGCCATAAAAAGAAACAAAATTGAGTTATTTGTAGTGAGGTGGATGGACCTAGAGACTCATACAGAGTGAAGTAAGTCAGAATGAGGAAAACAAATACCGTATGCTAACACCTATATATGGAATCTAAAAAAAAAAAAAAAGTTCTGAAGAACCTGGGGTCAGGACAGGAGTAAAGACGCAGACATAGAGAATGGACTTGAGGACACGGGGAGGGGGGAGGGTAAGCTAGGACGAAGTGAGAGAGTAGCATTGACATATATACACTACCAAATGTAAAACAGATAGCTAGTGGGAAGCAGCTGCACGGCACAGGGAGA